CTAACGTAAGACAGAGTAAGGAACAAAAAAAAGGGAAAAAAAAAAAAACTAAAAACAGGTTCCATTAAAAAAAGGCAAAAAATGAAATGAAATAGAGAAATCAAACAAAAACGCGAACGAATTTACCTTTAATACCACAATAATCTGCAAATCTGTCGACGAGATCACGAGAAAGAGAGGAGGATGGTAATACGATTTTTTAGGATTTCTTTTAGTTTGAGAATGGAGAAAGGGGAAAATGACTAAAATACATGTATATACAATGAAATTAGAAAGAAAGTACAGGCAACCCTCATTAATGTGGGCCTACAATTGGAAAAAATTAGTGTGAAATGCACGTCTCTTGCTTTTCTTCCAATGCAAAAGGGGATAAGCATCAAAATAGAAAAGAACTTCAAATTGGTAATGTGACCACAAGGGCAGATAAATGAACAGTAAAAAGGGATACATTCTTTTATAAGAAAGTAGATACATGAAATTTTATCACTATTAGCCTCATTCCAATAGGATGAAGATCAATTTTTTACACCATGGCTGAGTCCCACTATGTTCTGGTAAAAATGTGAAACAGCCAAGTGTCTTTGAATTGGAATTGCAGAAGTACAATAGAGTAAATTTTAAAAGTTTTACCATCTAGCTCTTGTATAGCATCTTGAGCATCCCTTCCTTCATCAAAATCAATGAAAGCATAGGGAGTCTTCTTGCAACCCAGACACTACAAAAATCATTAAAATTTAAAATAAGAAAAAAAGCTTGTCAAAAGATAATAGAAGATAAGACAATAGTTACATGATAGAGCACTAATGAATACTTACAAGCAAACTAATACAATAACACGTTAATCCACCTTTTAGAAGGAAAAATCATGAATCCAGCTGTCCATTGTAATTGTCTCAATCATGAACAAAAAAAGCATTTCGCTTCTTATGGCAACTGCACTCTTTGAAGGGGCATCCATCGGTCCTCTGATCAAGTTGGTCATTGGAATAATTTTGGATTCATTTTTTTATATACTATAATCGTGTAGCATATGTTCTTGACAACATCAGATCAAATTATTTGGATTATTAAATTCGCCTGCAAAACAAGTAGTGCATACATTATAGACAAGATGTATTTTCTCATTAATTTCTTTCTTCAATTCATTTGCTGAATTTTTTTTATTTCTATTTTTCAGAAAATCTGAGCTTTTCTGTTTATTATTATTGAGTGGCTTGAATGTATTTCTTGCTTCCAAGACTTCTTTTAATGAAAATAATATTCACTGGAAAGTATTGAATTCGGATGCTAGGCTGTAGAAAAAACTTAAGTGTTACTAGCATGTACTTGCAGTCTTGCACTACTCTGTGTGGTTTTCTCAATTGTCTACTTTGGAGAATTAATGTTCCTAATTCTATATGCTTGATTTATATTTATGGGAGCCCTTTGTGTTCACTTCTTGTGTTTAGTTTCTACCAAGTGAATGCCCAACAATCTGGAAAAAAAGATGGAGAGAATCGAATCTCAGTTTGCAGCATGGGAAAAGCAACAGAAGGAAATTGAACAGACAAAAGATTTAATGAAGCTTGAGTGCTGGAG